ACACACACACACACACACACACACACACACACACACACACACACACAGGTTTATGGTATTGAATACACGTAATTCCAGTTTTTAAGACATTGAGGAAGGAAGGTCAGCTGTTCAAGTGCAGATTTGACTGCAAAGTTTGTTTGAGGCTAGCCTGAGCTGAGAGCTTGTATCATAAAAAATAAATAAATAGATAAATAAATAAATAAATAAATAAATAAATAAATAAATAAATAAAATGATTAATTTTAAAATAAGTCATGCCTCACTCCTATCCTTAAAGGAGATCTATAAACCTTTTTTGAGATCTCCTGTGACTTTACAAAAAAGTAAGTTTTTTTTTTTTTGCCTTGTTTTTTTTTTTTTTTGTTTGTTTGTTTTTGTATTTTGTATGTATGGGTGTTTTGCCTGCACATAAATATGTCCACCACTTGTGAGCCTGATGCCCACCTGGGTCACAAGAGGATTGTGGACCCCTTAGAACTAGGACAAGGAGTTATGAACGGCTGTGAGCCACTCTGTGGGTGTGAACCCAACCCAGGTCCCCTGCAAGAGCAACAAATACCCTTTACCAAGAAACCAACTCCTTAGCTTCTTTGTTGTGTTTTTGAGACAGGGCCTCTTTTAGGCTAGCCTTGAACTTAGTTTATTCATTCATTTGTTTGGTTGGTTTGGTTTTTCCAGACAGGGTTTCTCTGTGTAGCCTTGGCTGTCCTGCACTGTGCAGACCAGGCCTTCCTGGACGGAATTCAGAGATCGGACGGAATGCCTCCGCCTCCTGAATGCTGGGATTAAAGGCGTGAACCCTCAATGCCCTGTTTGGCCTTTATTATGTAGATAAGATTGGTTTTGAACTCAAGGCTATAAGCATGTGACTTCACTCAGTTTGTCTTATCTGAGTCACAGATTAAGGAGAATCTCTCTCGACAGCATCCTCTTTATTATTTATTTATACTTTACTTTTGGTGTTTATTTTTTGTGTTTTTTCTCTTTTTTGAGACAGGGTTTCTCTGTGTAGCCTTGGCTGTCCTGGACTTTGTAGACCAGGTTAGTCTCCAACTCACAGGGACCCACCAGTGACCTATCTGTCTCTGTCTCCCTGAGTGCTGGGATTTCAGGTGTGTGAGGCCAGCTTTTGTATTGTTTTTGTTTGGTTTGGTTTTTCAAGACAGAGTTTCTCCATGTGGTCCTTGGCTGTTCTGGAACTCATTGTGTAGACCAGACTGGCCTTGAACTCAAGAGATCCTCTAGAGTGCTGGAACTAAAGGTGTATGCCACCATACCTGGCAGGTTTTTTGCTTTTGTTTGTGTTTTTTTTTTGTTGTTGTTGTTTTTGTTTGTTTGTGTTTTCCCCTTCAGTCTTGACTAAAGTCATAGCCATTTTAACAAGTCTCACAGTGGTTCTCTCACAGAATGGCCTTGAACTCAGAGATCCTCCTGCCTCAGCCTCTCAAGTGCAAGGATTTCAGGTATGAACCACCAGGATAGCTGCTATTTTTTTTCCCCCAGAAGATACGCTTGTGGAAGGCTAAGTTTAGAAGAGTTCCTCCCCAAAGGAGTTCTAACCATTTGCACCTGGAAGGAAATGCTCTGAGCCACAGTAAGGGCATCTATTCTGAAGCAGTTTCCGATTTCTGACAGGGGAAGAAACGTTCTAAAATTCTGCCTCCTGGGAGCATCTTGGGTTCTCTCCTGCATGCTCTCTGAGCGCCTCCTCTAATACCTGAGGAAGCCAGGTTGGCATAGGGGGTTCATGGGAGAATCAGTTGCTGCACAATCCTGGGGACCCAAAGGCTATCCCCAAAGTCTAAGAAAAGGCAGAAGGAAGAAGAACAATACCAAAACCAGCCGATAGCCCACATGTGCCCAGCCATCATGAACATGCAGGTACACAAGATAATAACAATAATCACATTTTAATTTTTAAATAGAAGATTTGAAACCTGGTGGTGGTAGCATAGCCACTTAATCCCAGCACTGGGGAGGCAGAAGTGGGTGGACCTCTGTGAGTTCAAGACCAGCCTGGTCTAGAGAATGAATTCTAAAGAAAACTGCTGAGCATGGTGGCCTGAGTAGGACTTTAATCCCAGCACTCGGGAGGCAGAAGCAAGCGGATCTCTGAGTTGAAGGCCAGCCTGGTGTACAGAGTGAGTTTTGAGACATCCAGGGCTACACAGAGAAACCATGTCTCAATCCCCCCCCCACACACACACACAAAAGTTGAGGAAGACTTTCCAGTCAAGATCAAACATGCCTATAATCTCAGCAATATTAGTAGGAAGAGGAAGAGGCAGAAAGATCTTTGAAAGGTTGAGGCAGCAACATTTTAGAAGAGCCCTGGAACCGGGCATTCCTCCTGAGTGATGGCCATTTAACCTTGAGAAATTGCTCGTAAACAATCTGATTGGGAATTTCCAACCCTTAGCTTAACCTCAGTCACGAGACATTTCTGGCAAATGTGGTATTCTAACGTTGACCGTGTTTGCTTAGGTAATGGTTCCCTAAAACAAGGCCTAGATCTGATAAGAGATTTTGGTATTCGGGAATTGACTTGCTAAAAGACCTTTTGTGTGATGACCAATAAATACACCCTGCCCCCGAGAAACCTAAATTCATACCTCGGTGTTCCTCTTTCTTCCATTGTCCTGCGTAATCCAGAACAACAACACTACTCTCAGTTCTGGGCTAATCCCAGCTCCTTTGGGAGTCCTTGCCTCAAAACAAGAGCAGAGCATGAGGCAAGTTTAGTGCGCTTGTTGCTCTTGCAGAGAACCTGGGTTTGAGTTCCAGCACCCCAGTGGCCCCTGAAGAACATCCATAACTCCAGTTCCACTTGCAATAATAGGTTTAATTCGTGTTTGTCTTTTTTTTGCCATATCTCATGTGACTTTGTCTTGATACCCTGGCTAGAGGCAGCAAGAGAATGAAGAAAGGACAGATGCACAGACTGTGTGCGGAGAAGCTGGGGTCAAGTGGGTTGTGTGAATTCTGGGGGTTTTGTTGTTGTTGTTGTTTTGAGACTGGGTTTCTCTGTTAAGCCTTGGCTGTCCTGGACTCACTTTGTAGACCAGGCTGGTCTTGAACTCACAGAGGTCCACCTGCCTCTGCCTCCCCGATTGCTGGGATTACAGGCATAGGCCGTTGGCTACCTCACGTTGGCTGGTAGGTAATTTGTTAATAAATGGACTTAGCAAACAGAGTCTCTTTCCAGAGGTCAGGGGTCAGACAGCTGTAGGTCTTGGCATCAAAAGTGGCGTTGGTGACATTGTCCAGAGTAGCCATGCAGCCCCGGCTGATGTGTAGCCTGTAGAGGAATTTTAATTCAGAACATGGCTGGTGTGGCAAGAGCTCACAGGTGAAGACAGAAGGAGCCAGGGAATGAGAAGGAGCCACAAGATTAGGACATATTGCCAAAGTTAGTATTGAAAGATCCTCGGAGGGTATCTTCCGTCAGAGAGACCCCCTCCCAAGGAACAACGAGTCCATTCGGATGCAAACAGCAAGAGGCTTTTATTTTGATACACGGGTACCCGGGGCGAAAAGTCATTCGGGAGACTTCCGCGCCTCCTTGGGGAAAAACTGGGGTTTTTATAGGGTTTTAGAGCAGAAGCACTGGTACAGAAGCGAGAGGCATGGTTACAGGGGGCTGATTGGTACGTTTACACGAGACCACGGTTTGCGTCAAAGTTTGGCAGGGACACCAAGATTCCAGGAACTGGGTGGTCACAATGGTCATGATGACTCCTTGACGTGGCCCACCACCTGTTGTTTTCCTTAGGACCCTTATCTTAACTGGAACAGTCTCACAGATATCCATGAGGGTGATTAATACAAACTGTTTTTAGTTCGACTGGGGCAGCCTGACCGCAGATATCCCAAGTGGGTGACACAGCTAGGATTTCTCAGTAATTTTCCAGTTTCTCATCTGGCCTTCAGAGTTTTATAAAACAGTGGTGTCTCACAAAATGGCGTTAGCTATGTTTAACTTAGGGTGAGGCAGGGGTCTTTCAGTATGAGTCCAAGTGGAGCAATTCAGACAGAGGCCGAGAGAGAAGCCAGTTTGAATCTGAGCTTCGAGAGGCAGAGGCGTTTGCGTCAGAACAGCTGGGTTGAACCAGCCAGCCAGAGTTCAGAAAGGGTGAGTGTTTTCAGCAGGAAGTCTCAGAGGCTGAAAGCATTCTAGGCCTAGAGTAGATTGGATGGAGGCTAGAAGCTTCCGGGACTAGGCCTAGGCTAGCAGATGGAGGCAGTAATC